GGGGGGGGGGGGGGGGGGGGGGGGGGGGGGGGGGGGGGGGGGGGCAGGAGCTTTCCCTCCGAGGAGAAAGTGATCCCTTCTGTCCTGCTAAATCCTGCGTAAGCCTGTGTATGTTTCGCAGTCTTGTTTCCCTTCTCCCCGCTTGCTGAAGCTAAAAGAGGCGCAACGACGAGTACCATGACAAGTCCAGAAAAACTTCGACACTTTGGTTTTTCTAAAGAAAAAAAAACTGCTCATGGCTTATTGGTTTTTCCAAAAAAACCGAAAAACTGATCGTTTCAGCATTTCTGGAAGTTCTTTGGTGGTAATCTGTTGAGTGGTGGTGCAGCAGGTGCAACATCGCTATGCTTTGTTTATCCGCTGGATTTTGCGCGGACGCGGCTTGCCGTTGACGTTGGAAAAGGTGCAACCCGGGAATTCCATGGATTGGTGGATTGTTTGGTGAAAGTGCTGAAAAGCGATGGACCAATCGGATGGTATCGGGGTTTCATGGTCTCCGTTCAAGGGATCATCGTGTATCGTGCAGCATATTTCGGTCTCTTCGATACAATCAAAATGATGGTTGCATCGGAGGAAAAGAAGCTCAACTTCTTCTTTGCCTGGATGCTTGCTCAGGTTCGGAATTGCATCAGTAAATACCCTAGAAATGTATTGGAATTCAAGTTCCTTGACTTTTAGGACCACCAGATTCAAAACTCTGTCTACACTCGCTTTCCGCAGGAAGTGCATGTTCCGAGAACAGCGAATGCCAAACGGCAACCATTCGGCAGCATCGTTTTTTTTTTAACGAAAGAATGTGCTGTGTTAGTCTCAGAAAAAAACACAAGCAGTACTGGTGCGCCACTATCTACCGAAATGATAAAAATCCACGATTTCTTGTATCTTCTCTCTCAACCACACCTTACACTGTCTCTGTTTACAGCTTAGGGATGAAACACAGGCAGATCTTTTATATGTCATACAGTTTGATCCACATTCATTAACAACCCCACTATCATCATATCCCATTAAATATTCTCCCCTCCCTTCCTTCAAAATTTTTGGATTTCACTGTCCCATATTTGCCACGGGTTGGCTTGGCCGTTCCTTCAGAACGTCTGATTTGCCGTATGAACGGCTAGAGCAACTTCTTTATCAGTTTAATCCAGCTCGGCTGCCTCACTTGAACCATCCATTTTTCATTCGGCCACCTAATGGCCCTCAAATTTCATCATTTCAGGTAGTGACAGTTGGCTCGGGTATCCTATCATATCCGTGGGATACGGTGCGTCGTCGGATGATGATGCAGTCCGGACGCAAAGAGATGCTTTACAAGAACACCTGGGATTGTGCGAAGAAGATTGTCGCCAATGAAGGACTGGCGGCAATGTATAAAGGTGCTCTATCGAATGTTTTCCGTGGTACAGGTGGTGCTTTGGTGCTAGCGATTTACGATGAAATCCAGAAATTCCTCTAAACCAGCTGCTGCTGCTGCTACTGCGCCCGTTGCAAAAGTTACTTAGCCGACCACTGCAACCAGTTTTTTTTGTGGACGACATCGAAAAATGGTCTCGTTTGAATCTTCTCAATCATTCAAGCGTACACATTATTATTATTGTCGTACATAGTGTTGAATTCCGTAATTTAATCTTAAAATCTTTGTGCTGTGGTGTAATTCTCTCTTTCTCTGTCTCTCATAATCCTCACATAATCACTCTTT